TTCATAAATCTCAACTATTGAAAGTGGAGAAATGAATGTTTGAGATTTTATGTAAGTGTGGTGTGTAAAACTTGTGTGCAAGTGAATCTCCACTATGTGTGTGTGTGTGAGAGAGAAGAGGGATTCATGTGTGAGAGAGAGGAGGGATTCATTCACACATAAGTTTTACACATCACACTTACACAAAATTTCACACAAAATCTCAACCATACATCTTTCCATTTTTAATGGTTGAGATTGGTCATGATTTTTTAGGTTGAAAAGATAATAAATATGATAAAAAGTTAACAAATCTCAACTATTAAAAATGGAGAAATGAATGGTTGAGATTTTATGTAAGTGTGGTGTGTAAACTTATATGTAAATGGCTCCCTACTCACATATATATATATGAGTCTTACTTTTATGCATCCGCCTAGAAAAAGAGATTAGGAAAATTAATTTAAGAGGATCTTAGTGTCGATTTCTTTGTAAGTCTTATTCTTCAAATGGGTACATATAATGAAATTGAATAAGACCGTCGATTCTAGCCTTATATGAAAATAAATAGCCAAGTGCTTCATAGAATCAAAGAATGCTAGGGGAAATATTGCTTTTAACTTACAAGTTGTTTCAATAATCTTTGCCTTCAACATCTACATCTCCTTAGATCTGATGATTGAGAACAAAATGCATGAAAGAAGTTATTAATTTCTATCAAAAGACTTTACACAACGATTGGTAACAAATTGCAAAAAGCAAATAGCATTAATTATTGTATGAAAATGTGACAATCATAGCTTGTTATCCCACATAACGTGGACTAATTCAGGTTAGCATATCTTGATAAGTTAGAAGCATACAATTTTGGGAAGCACAACTATTTGAACCATGCACATAAAAGCTTTTGTTTAGCATGGTAAATGCATTAGTAACATTAGGCTTTATAAGCTTACCATGCCTATCATAACCTATGTGAAGTTTTTCCCAGTCACAATAAATTGTGAAGTCCAGCCTTGCCTTCACACTACTTTTTGTTAGTGTCATCTATGATAATATAATAATGCGAACTATATTATCAAGTAAGTTCTCACAATGCATTATATCAAGATTATGTCTAATAAGGTTATCCCACTCAAATGAAAGTTCCTAAAAAATGCTCTTGTTTACCCAATTATAAGTGTCTCTGAAACTCACAATTGTTTAGTTTTCAAAGGGTTCCCCAAATAACACATCAAGAAGGGTGTCAACTTAAGGTCGAATTGAAACACTATCCAATTGAGGATGGGGAAGCCTAAATTCAACTCAACCTTTTTGAAATTTTTTTACATCAAATTTAAAAGGATATGATTAGGGTAAAAACTGATGATGACAACCAAAACAAGATGGTTTTTGACCATTTTGAAGATAGAAAGATTGTATCATCTCTATGCAATATTGATAAGATAACCAATTGTGAGTGCTCTAATTAGACACCATGTCATAACCTAGAAGTACACCATCTCGCAAAAGACATTCATGTCATCATGGTGTGCATCAATAGTGTGTGATGATTCACTTGGATTGGAAACAGACCATGGATCTGTTGGATCTAAAAACCTTTCATTGTGTGCCCACCAAATGGAATAAGTATTCATAGAGCCATTTTGAACAAGGTGATCCCACATAATTCCCCTAGGTGTCAATAGCAAATTCAAACATTTATTGCAACGATATCTAATTGGGTCATTAAGTCCAAGACCTGACTTAATGTATGCAAATTGAATGAAATATTTAACTCCATTAAAGAACTCATCATATATTTTTCCACGAGAAATTTGATGACTACACATCCAACTATGATAATCCGTCATCTTATTAAAATTAATGACACAAAATAGTGACATGATTAGTTTAAAAACAATTATAATGTTTTTCATATATTCATTATTCATTCAGTTAAGTTAACATATCATATTTTAATTTTATATTAAATTATTCATATTTTTTAATTACTCTTTAAAAATATTACATATATTATAAATTTTTAAAAAATATTACCAAGTTGTTATATGAACATTTCAAATTTATTCAAAAAGAACTTTCCATACAAAAATTGTCCAATTTTCTTTTAACAAAAATTGAATACTTAACCATACAAATATAACAATGTAGTGGAAATCAAACTTACTTTTAGATAAGGACGGTCCACAAAATAAAGTATCTACCTACAAAAACAATGATTAAACTAATTTTTTTTGAAGATAATTAAATTAATTATATATGAAATTGCACTTAAAATTAAGATAATGTAACTTAAAACTTATGGAACAAAAAAATTACACAGGTATTCTATTGTCAAAATTTCACCGTTGATATTGCTAGAATTTCACTAGAAAATCATTGAAAAATCTCAACAAACATTCGTAAAACTTACCCAAAATAACAGACTGAGCAATTTATTTCCAAATGAACTGACCACAATACTTCATAGTTTAATTATAATAAAAATATATATAAAAAAAGCATAACCATTAGATTCAACACAAAAAAACAGAATAAAACTTCAAAAAATTGCTTAAATCTCGCTCATCGATGTTTGATCTATTGATTTGGAGAAGAAAAATGGCAAAGTTCTTAATGTTTGGCTTCCTAAAAAAGATAGAAGAAGGGGATCGTAAGTGAGGAGAGGAAAATCAAATGATGGGGAAAAGGGATTGGCTGCGCAAGGGGACCACAGATCTACAGTTATTAACGTGATTTTACATCAGTAAGTACAGAGTTATTAGCCCTTGAGAGTCAGTGGCTAAGAGTGCTGTTGGGGGCACAATTTCCCAATAGTTTATTGATGAGATACATGTAAGAACTTAGTTACTGATGTATTATACACATCTTTCGGTCCCAATGTAACTAATCTATTATATTATTTATCAATTTAAAGATTGACCAAAACAACGTGGAGACATGGACCACATTAGTGTTTTGATAATTTACTGATATGGCAAACAGCTAAATATTAAATAATGTTAATAATTGACACTTCTACTATTTGGCAACGTAGAGAAATCTTTTTCATCAATGACTACAGCTTTTACCCAGAGTTATTTTACGTTGTGATTTTTTGTTGGTGATGTTTTGTTTTTTAATAGTGATTTTAATTGTTCCAAAAAAAAAAAAAGATAAATAAAAAAGATCATTTACTTCTAGAATATAAAAATCTTGTGAGCAATATTTTCATTATCATATTCCAAACATCAAACTTCAGATATTAAGATTAGCTGCATGATCATAATGTTTAGGAATCCGTCAATTCAATGTGCGTTTAAAATGGAAGCTCATAATTTTAAGACAACATTTGATATGGATTTTGGTATACTTGAGTATAGTTAACTTACAATTCACATCACATCTTTTACATATGTACATGGTTAATTAGCATGTTAATCAAACTACTTCTTACCGGTTAATCACATAAACTAAGTTACAATTACAAATTAACTATAAGTAACTAGCATATATAAATTACAAAACTAAACCTTACACAAGGCAAAACTTAAATTTCTTCAAACCATCGTAAACTATAGCATAGAACCCTTAGCCCCGACAAAATAAACAATATAATAATATAAATTAAAGGGGTACTTAATTAATACAAAAAAAGAAAAAGAAAAAGCAATTAAGAAACCCTTAGGGCCGGAGTTGGATCGGTGTAACGCATGGGCCTCCAAGATGCCACGTGCAATGCAGCAATGATGGGCAATGTTGTTGGGGAGAGAACATGGCTTGCTCCTGCCTGTGTTTGGAAACTTGACCAGTCAACCACATTGAAACCCTAATTACACTCACACCACTTAATTGCAGCTTTCGATTTTTTCTTTTCTTTTTTGCCCTACGCTCGGTAAATCTTGTTGGAGAGGCTCCTGCAGCCTTGGCCGTAGTGGAAGAGCATCTTTACTTCCCGGTCTTACCTAGGGTTCGATTAGCGTCATCCCTGCATTGTAGTTGTAAAAATTGTCCTTCCTCAAAATTTCCCGTGTGTTTTGAAAAAAAATAATAAAGAAAAGAAAAAGAAGAGGTAAACCTTGTTAGGAAAAGATTTTTTTAATTATTAATAAAAAAAAGTGTTGTGCAATATAAAATATATGGAACTATATAACTTAAACTATTATATATAAGAATAGGTACAAAGGGATCTATCCTTCATTTAATAGTTTTTATTTTCTAATCTCAATTATAAAATAGAAAATTAATATTTAATATTATTTAATAATAATGAATTAAAAAAACTTAATTTACTACAATATATAAATATATATAAATTAATAGAGTTAAAATCCACTTATGCATAAGTTTTACGCACTAAAATTACACAAAATTTTAATCATTCATCTTTCTATTTTTAATAGATAAGATTTATCCACCTTTTATTATATTTATTAAAGCTAATTATATTTTTTATTTAAAAATTCGTAATAAATCTCAATCACATTAAAAATATAGAGATAGTTAAGATTTTATATTAGTATGCATGGTATGCAAAACTGATACAGACGTGGATCTTTACTCAAATCAATTTTGTTAAAAATAGTAATACAATACATGTATACTATCTTATGTGCACAACACTTAAAAGTGTTATGAACACATAAATATTATTATTTTTTATAAACAATTACTTATAGTATTTAAAAATATTAATATATATACTAATTTTATTATTAAATAATAAATATAAAAAATTTTATCATCTATTAACTAACCATTACAATTAGTAATTATTTTTAAAACCCAAACTACAACACATCAGTATTTTAAATATAAATATATAAAAATTTATAGGTCTTACTCTTTACCTGTGAACGTAACCTTTCCTGTATATTATTGCGTGAAGTGACTGACCCACTCGCTGTCTCTGTCCACTTAAGATCATACTTGGACTTGGGAGCACACAAAAAGAAAGACAGTATGGTGAATCCATAGACACTTGATTCTACCTTTTTCTCTATCTCTCTCTTCGGAAATATCTATTTAAATACTAGCTCACCGTATCTTTTCTTCCATGCAATTTTCTCCATTCCCTAGCACCCACTTCCTTGTGTTCTTCTCCATTACTTGTCTCCTCCACCGCCTTTTTCTTCATCTTCTTCTAGGTTTTTTTTTCCCCTTTTTAAAATCAGGTTCTACACTCTTCACTTTCTAGTGCTAAAAGATGTCTAGCCGAAGGTCCAGATCAAGGCAGTCAGGAAGTTCAAGGATCACAGATGATCAGATCCGTGATCTTGTTACGAAGTTGCAGCAACTTCTTCCTGAGATTCGTGAACGGCGCCCCGATAAGGTATAAATACATACACCTTCTGAGTTTTATCTAGTGCATTAATAGACTATCCCTTTTCCAAATCTATCCAACATGTTGTAAAAATGTTTGAATTTAGTAGTATAGCTAGTTAGGAAGTCTGTAAGACATATATACCTGAGATTGTACACCTCATTTTAAGCTTTTTCACACAAGAAAAAAGAAAAAAAAAATAAATAAATAAAAATAAACAGAAAACAAAACAAACTGCTCTCTCCTCTCTTGATTGGAAATTCAGGCCTCATTTTGCCTTTAAATTTAGTGCTCCTCTTTTTCTTTTTTTAAACAATTTTCCTTAAGCATAATTCCTATTTTAAAATGACAAATAAGTTAACGTATCAAAAAAGAAAAAAGAAAAATAATTAAAGATTTCATGGATTTCAAGAACCCTGTCTTTCTTACCATTTTAATTAGTTACAACTGTTTATGGTGTAACTGGTAGCAGAGATTAAAGATTTATCTATTTTATCCACAAAAATTAATTAATTCAAAAGAGTAGGAGTAAGGGCTTCTCTAACCCAAGATATAATCACTTTTCTACATGAAAATACAATATTCAATTTTCTCCCTGTCATCTACAAAGGGGTAACTAAGATTGAAAGCGTTGATGGATGGTAGGAATCGGCAGCTCGGGTGTTACAAGAGACTTGCAACTACATCAGGAACTTGCATAGAGAGGTTGACGATCTTAGCGAGCGGCTGTCGGAGCTGTTGACCACCACTGACACGGCCCAGGCTGCCATAATCCGGAATTTGCTTATGCAGTAGACGGCTACAAAATTAATTAAGCTTTGCTGATTTAGGGTTATCAGTTCACTGCTTTTGCCAGTATATTGGCGGTTGTCTTAATTTCATTTTTTCCCTAGTCTTTAAAGCTTTGTTACTATAGCTAGACTAAGAACTAATTAGTTGCAGTTGAATGAGTAGAGAATCTTTTTGCAAAGCTGTGTAATAATATTTAAGGAATATAATAAGAGAACTCTTGCACTGCTACTTAAATTCTCTCAATCCGCTTCTATATTATATTGAAGTTATCAATGCCTGTCTGTCTACTAATTTGTATTTATTTTTTGGCCAGCAAGGTTTATACATATATATATATATAAGAATATATAGAACCTGGATTTTATAAAAAGATTCATAAATAAGGTTTATTAATCAAGAAATTCTTACAAGAAATTACCATTAATGGGTTAATGCGACAGTTAAAAGTATTTGTTTAAACTTAGATCTAATTAGTTCGTTCGATGTTCGAATTGAGCTCCTTCTTCACCGACTTAACCGAAGGAGATCGGAAATTTGAATTATAAATAAATGTATCTAGATTATTAATATATATCTCCAGACATCCAAGGATTTAAAAAATGCATGTTAATGCTTAAGACAAAAGTATGTTTTTAAATGCAAGTATTGTACAGATTGCATATGCTAGGAATATCATTGCAATCTTTCTTGGACTCTCAAAAAAACTCATCTAAATTTATGATTTCGGTTTTTCACTCAAACCTGTTCATTGGATTTCGAAGGTGAATAAAGAAATGGGCATTTCTCGTGACTTAGAGTTCAGTCTTCGCTGTCTATGGGATCAAGTTCATGTGATGCCGATCTAGATGCACGCTGATCCACCTCCAATACTGCTGCTGCACCCCCTTAACATTTGTAGGTTCAGCCTTAATCAACTTCAATATCCTTTCTGTCTCTTTCTATTTTTGATTAACAAATTAAAATTATGGGTTCTATGGGATGCAACACTTTTAAATTTCTATTTGACGATGCATGTGCCAAGCTTCCATCTCATCCATCCTAAAGTTTAAATAGGAGAGCTTGACATAGAATCTTAAGTTTAGCCATTGAGTCATTTCCACGCAAAATATATTGATCAAAAGTTCTATTTTTCCAACTAATTGGAGAGTAGTAAACACACGTGTGATGAAAGAGTTTCTTTGGACTTGAGAGAGAAGTAGTAATCTTATATGAACTAGTGTTAATATTTATAATATGTAGCTAGATCAACTCATATAATTTAATAAAAAAATTCTATTATGGCCACGTTAATTAATTAATCTTTCAACTTTTTTTTTTTTTTTTAATATGGGGGAATTTGGGGAAGGGTAAATTCTTTTTCACAGAATAGGTAGGAGTAGAACTCCCAACCTATTTAAGCCCAAGCTCTTAGGCTTGGATGGTGAATCAATAGGTCTAATGGGTTGTTTCAATCTTCCAACTTGTTTATTTTATAATTGGATAGAAATATAAAGCCGAAATATTAAGCCAAAATAGACTAAAATTTGAATTAAGCTGAAATATTTATATAGATATTAGAAGAAATAATATGTTGTTTGGTATAACATTTAAAATTAGCAATTTGTGGTTTGGTTTAATTTAATAAACAAAAGTCTTTAAATTATTAATATTAACATTTTTTAATATCTAACTTGCTGATACACCAAATAGCCCATAAGAACATTTTACAAAATTTTAAATCATATTCATATAAGTTTTGGTATAAACCTTATAAGATAACAGGTAAGCAGTGTCTAGCATGCATGAATCTGATTAGAGGTCTTAATTAGAATACCTCCTACATCACACATCATACTGATTAGATAAATTCCTAAATATTATGCTCAATATAGTAATACTAACATGCAAATAATAATTAAAGTAACAAAACTATATATATATATGAATAATCTATTTACATACAAGTTTTATACATTATACTTACATAAAATCTTAACTATTTATCTTTTTAATAAAGAATATTCAATAAAGAATGCGATAAATATAATGAGTGTAATTACAAGTATATAAAATTATCTTGGGTGGTGCTATTGAGACAACTTTTTTTTTTTCACCTTTTTGTACAACTTTCACATGTCATTAAATGAGTAAATGCATTCAATATCACAGGTCTCACATGAATTAAAAGAACCAATCATTTTAATGACATATCAAGTTGTACCAAAAAGTGAAAGAAAATAGTTGTCCCAATAGCATTTCCCAATTGTCCTAACAACCAAGTTGGTTGGTAGGGTATACTCTAACATTTTTTACTCGAAACAAGTTTTGTGAATCAATATGTACCCACTAGTTTGATCTCATGTGACTATTGTAAAAATTTGTTATCAATAAAGTTGTGAATGAATCATTATCAAAATTTTGTAAAAGAGATTAGTTAATCTCCTAATGCTTTGGCGTCAAGAATCTCTATCTTTAACTATATCTCAATCTAGTGAAGGATTGAACTAGTGACATCACATGATCGGCATTAGACACTGAAGAGAAGGGAATCTCAATTAAAAATGATTTATGTGGTAAATAATTATGAAGATTTAAGAATTATTAGAGTTGTTTAAAAAACTAGGCCCCAAATCCACGCTACATGAGGTTCGTTTATGTTGACTCTTCATGCTAATTATTAATTATAATAGTATTGATTTTGAATAATTAATCTAAATTAATGTTATTAATCTCATATGTACTTAACAAAATAAAAGGTCTATATATATTGTAGAAAATCTACTTTTTGTTTATATATTTATACATGATCCCAACTTTTATTAACTTTTACGTAGTTGGGAGATTAACACTAATTTAGGGCTTGTTAGTTTAGTAAAACTAATGTTTGACTATATGCCATTAAGTAGGACACATGCCTTAAAACACATATAAGTCCTATAAGGTTTAACATTTACACTCATTGTTTATCTTGCATGAAGGGATTTTTCCCACTTTATTTCATTATTTTTTTTTCTTTCATTTCACCTTTACTCTCCTATATTGTATAGGTACATCTCATATTTCTCTATAGCTTGTCATCTCTATTTTCTATTCCCCTATCCTTCCTAAATCCTCTTTCTATTTGTACTTTCTTTACCTAGTATATTATGTTGATATATCTCCCACTATTTCTTCATTTAGCTATTTCTTACATCAACTCATTGACACTACTAGAGAACGCAGTATATTCGATAGCCAATACTATCTATTATAGCAAATATTTTGTCAATTATGTTATAACCAACAGATAAATCTACAGGAAAAATGAGAGTCAAAAATAGGTATAATCGATAAAATTATTTCTGTCAATTAAATATTATAATCAACAGTAACTTTTGTCGATTATAACCATAATCGACTGTTACTTAGCTATTAATTATGGTTGGGAAAATTATTAAACAAAGTAATCGCCAGCCAGTTGGCTATCGATTATTCATGTAATCGACGGCTAGTGAGTGTCGATTATTATTTACATAATCGACAGTCAATCTGCTGTCGATTATGTTTGGCCAAAAACTAAAAAGCTAGTTGCCTGTCGACTATGTATATTATCGTCAACTACTTACTGTCGATTTGGCTGTCAATTATACCTTTCACATAGAAAAAAAAATTTCCAAAATTTAGTATATGATTAATTCAATGAAAAATCATTAGAAATTGTAAACAAATTGATAAAACCATATCCCACAAACATATGTACAATTAAAATAATATATTTAAGAGTTAACCAAATTAATAATATAAAAACTAATGAACAAAGAAGTTAAATTTCAAGCAATTTATCTTAAAAAAGGGAGCTAAATCTGCCAAAAAAAAAAAAACAAAAAAAAAATTATTATACACATTATAATTCTAATGTTAACAAAAATGAGATATTAACATGTTAATCACAAATAAAATAAGAATTTACCTCAAAAAATTTTCTTTGGTAAGCTTAATATATAATCTGCAAAAAATATATTTATTTATTAGCAGATGCTCATGTATCTTATTAAAGTAATTGGATGATTAATGAAAAGGAATAAAGAACAAACCTTAAAATCGATAAAAGAATGAAAGAAGATGGATGAGGACTACAACCAAATAAAGAAAATGGGAAAAGTTGCAGGAATGAAAGAAAAATAACCATTTAACTATAGAGCCATGAAATTACTTAAAACGTTTAAACCATATGCATGGTAAGAGCTAGAAAGGGAGAAGAAGATAAAGGAGAATGAAAAGTAGAAGTAGAAAGAAAAAAAAAGTGAGAAACAAAACTGAGGTCCCATGTCTGAGAAGGAATTGAAAGAGGAAGGGAAAGGTAGGAGAAGCTTTGAGAAGAAGTGATATGTGGCAATTCTGGAACTGGGTATTATATTATTTTAAATTCCACCACCCCGCATGAACCCAATTTTGGTGAACTTTTTGGGTGGACTCTGGTATAACCGACAGCTAGTAAAGGTTGTCGATTAAGTGATCATAACTGACAGAATAGATGTTGGTGATATTAATATAATCGACAGCCTCTTGGCTCTCACTTACAATTGCAGCCCCAAACACTTAAGGCAAAAAACCAGATTATTGGCCAATAGAATCCTATGTAAATTGATAATAACGTGCCATTAATGTCTAATATTTTTAATTAATATTATATATTGATTAATATAAACTAAAATATTATACATTTATGATCAGGTAAGTCATCATATATACATAAAATATATATACAATATGACACCCTTAGGAGGCGTAATACCAATGTCTTCATAACATTCATGATGAATCAAAAGTAGCTAAACTACAAATTGCCTCTTTCCTCTTGAATCTTGGCATTCAAACCATCTATATCAATATAAGACTCCAGTGGAGTCTTTTCAACCTTCATAACTGACACCATTGGATCCATTTCATCTTGTTAAATCCCAACAACAGAGAGGACCTAAGAAGAGAAAATAAACAATATTGAGCATAAATATCTATTAAAATAATTATAATGCGATGAAATTAACAAAACTCTACTCCAATGTGGTGAGCTGAACTCATCAAAAATTGTATGCATTCAAAATTCCCTTACAAAGTTTTAGAGAAATTAGAATCTGTTACTTCTAGCGTGATATATAAATGGTACCGTTCCATCTTCCATAAACACCAAATTGAGACAAATTTGTCTAATGGCTATTTCTAACAATTCTTTAACACAAGAATTGTTAAAACCATAGGACCCAAAGAACTCCCACACTAGATCAGGGAAAATCCATGATTCTTAAGTTCTTAACTAAGTACTAGCTCCATAACATAAAAATGCTACAAACAGATCCTAAATTGACAAATAGTTAGACGCCTAGTTCAAAACATATATAAGAAAGTTTGAGCAACAAAATTCTTAGTAAGATAAACCTAAAAAAACAAGAAATGAGCAAAAATATATGCCACACAATATAGCAGAAATATAGGCTATTACTCTCATTTAGACTACCAACTCCAAAAACAAGACACAACAGTGGAGGAAAAGTGAGTTTTCTGATAGCAAGTGCACTAGTCGCTCCAAGTAATATAATGATGAGAAGAATGTCGAACCCACGAGGATTGTATCTAACTAAGTACCAAAATAATTAATCCAAATTTATTTGAACAACCAAATGGGAAGAAAGTTTAACTAAAAAAATAATAAAAGGAAAATAACAATTAAATTAAACCTAACCAAGATATGAGGTACTAAGGCATTGACTTCACCATAATCAATCAATATAAATTTTGGATTACCAAATTGTTGAGTGTTATTACATGTGATGGCGGATTTCCCTAAATTAATTAACTAGCTTTCTCAAGTCAAGTTAATCATATCTCTATGTAATTTTAAACAAACTTATGAGCATTAAATTCTATGGAAACCTCTAGCTTAAGAAGGGGGAGCTCCTAACTCTCTTCTCTTCTTCCACTACCACATGTGAGCTAATTACCTCTCGGTCTCATAGTCTAGCACACGGTTTATATTATTATTGGTCTAATCTACACAATTCTTTCTCAAGTTCATGCATAAATCACTAAATCAATTGAAAGGTGATCAAACTTCCAATGCATTAAGTTCAATAATATAAACTGCTCATGCAAATAACTTTAATTGAAAGCATAAAATCACTAAATCCATATTGAATTGATTAGGCTACATCGTAACCCTAGTAGAATAAATCAGTTCATAATAAAAAGAATAAAATATGAAATCAAAGTTATGAACATTCAAATATCAAACAATACATAAAAGCCCAAGGAAAAACAAAACCCAATTTGAGGAAATCGAACTCCTTGATCTTCTATTGTTGATGAAACCTCAATCTCGATCTCCAGTAATGCCCAAAAGATGGCTGCCACCAGCTTCTCAAAAACTCCTAATTCTGAATTTGGATGAGTATTTATAGGATTTTAGAAACCCTAATTGAAATAGAAGTAGGACTTGGAACAAAAATAGGAAACTGAATTTTGGATGCTAATCACGTGGTACTGACACTTCGGATTACGTGTTAACACAAAATAGGAAACAGAATCTGATTCTGGACATTTAATGCATGGTGTGGGCACCCCGACTACGTGTCGAGTTTTTGGCCTGCTTTTGCAATTTCTTCAATGGTAAAATAGCAGATTTGGTTTCTGACTTCTAGATTCTGCACAAGTTGATCCTCAAGTCTCTGATCTCTTCAATTCACTTCTAAAAGGTAAGATTTCTTCCAATTAAATCCTTTCCTTCACAAAGAATGAAAACCATGTAAAATCAAACAAAATCCCATAAAACTCATCCAAATATCAATAATATCAAAGTAAAAATTCCCTATTAATATGTATATAAATTTAGCTCATCATTTTCTTTTCTCAATCAATAGGGTCATTAATTCTTTCTATGTTTCAGAAGTTCTTAGCCTCTTAGCTATTCTAACATGAATCTTTTGTTTGTTTTCTTTTTGGAATTAACATAAGTGTACCCAAAGGTTAAAGTGAGGCCAGAACAAGATGAAGATGACAATGGCTCAGTATTGTTTTTAGAGTCTTTCTCTAGGCAAGATAATTAACACTAGTTACTAGTATTTCACCAAGATACATCAATACTACTTCCAATTATCCATCCTACATTCCCATTAAATGTGTGGTACTATTTTCCTTTTCTTTTCTACTCTCTGTGCAGAGGATGAAAATCAATCCAATTCTAATTCTCCACCTACAATTGCTAGAGTCACCAAGATTAATTCTATTTCAATTTCTAAAGGTTAATTAATTCTCTTCTACATCTTACCTAAGCAGGTGGTGATAAATGATCAAATCTAGACCCACTAGCCTGTGAAGGACTAGCAACTTGTGAAGGAGCAATAGTCTATGATGGTGGAAAGCCTATAAATGCATACTGTTGGCTACATAATGCAATATGCTCTTGAAATCTCCTATCAAATGCAGCCTCAATTTCTAAAACTCTCTGTGATACCTCTGACTAAATACGTGCAGTCTTTGATTGTATTAGCTCTGCCATTTCTTGTTGAACTTGTGCGAGCTCAGTCTACAACTGATGGACCTGCATCATCAACATCCTGGTGGTAGAGGAGGAGGCCTCATTAATCTCATATCATCGCCCATGGTATGCCATGCTCTGCTAGGTCCTAAAGTGTGGACAACCCTCTCATCTGACCTTTTTTTGGTGGTCCAACCACATCCTTCCAAATTTCTAGATCCCGCCCTAGCCATACCTCCTTATTTGGCCCATGCTTTTCCATGTATTTTTGGTGAGCAACATTCTATTTCAAATATAAATTTTCATTAGTTAGAATAATTTAAATTGTGTTAATATTAATTATAATAAATATTATCAAGGAATTTGATACTTACATATGTCTGCTCAGCTTCTAGACACTCCTAAATTGGTGATGCATCTTCTTGACCTTTAGGACTGGGAGTTGTGTGAGTACACAGGTAGGTCTCTAGCTGTGATGGCCTAGCTCTCCCTCGCTTGGCTACCTATTCAAAATAAAAATATCAATAAAATTTAAATTTTATAACATTCAGCATTATATCTAAAAATATACTTAAAAAAAGTACACATAAAAAAGTACATAATACTAACCAATTGATCTTCATGGATCCCCATTGAAATGCATCTAGTAGTATGAGTCACATGGGGACCATTTGCTCGGTTTAGTCAACCCCTCTCTTGCAGTGCCATATATTATGGGCTCCGCCACTTTGCTAGCAATATTTTAAAGGTCTCTCTATGCATGAACTCAGGCAATTATTTGAAATGTTCCCATTTCTTTCAAACTAGATGGAGCTTGTCTCGAAAACACTTCCGACAATGCTTTCTCCAAATTTTATATACACAAGCATTGTCTTCCTCCCAACAATATGTCTTTTGCAATATTAAAATTAATTAAATTAATTGATAATATATTTAATTCTATTAAAAAATGGGCAGAGTTTCCCCTAAAATATCAATTTTCTCCCTATTAATCATAAAGAAAACAAACAATCAAAATATCAAACACATTTATACCATGATCACTCATATCAAATTCTAGGTAGCAATATCACAATAATCAAGATCACAACTATTTCAAACTCATCCAAACGAAAATCAATTGATAACATGAAACACCCTTGTCCTAAGGTGTAAGATTTTATAAGTTTGAATTTTATCCTTAAATATTAATTCATTAGGTTAAGGAGGTTAGGCAGCAAAACCAGAATCTGATTTGACTAGATGGCCCTAACAAGTTGCTGCTGAAAGATAATAAAAATAAATAAATACCAAATACAAGATCTAAGTGAAACTCATTAAAAATCCATTACTTTGTCTATAGAAGTATATACATGGTTCCAAAAAAGACTTAACTCATTGTTTTGAATTCTAATTTCTTGGTACTAAATGAAGGAAGAACAAGGAAAGAAGGAGGTTCTGTGACCTAGAACCAGTAAGAAGTTTAAGAAAACCTCAAGTGCTGTTGTAAGGGAAACTATGGATTTTTGTACTGTGTATTTTATACATAAAATTATGTTACCATGTAAGAACTGGACTCTTCCCTTTTTGTTTATCATAATCAAAATGTCGAGGTCTTATTTGTTTTCTACTTATAAATATTATATATATATTTTAAGTGTAATACCCCAAAATTTCCTAGAGCATATAAGTTGAGTTAGGGACTTAATAGTGAGAAAACATTATTAATGGACCTAACTATCAATTTTTCAAACTTTAAAGGGGTTAAAACTCTTATTGGATAAGG